GACCAGACTCTAACCGACCAGATCAAACCATATCAGATCCGACCAATCCAGCAAATTACAGCCCACACGAAAATTTATGTAGTCAATATCATAGGCTAAAAATTAAATGTAAATGAACCAATATGACTATATGTTCTAATATGCTAAATAGTATTTGGAATTACCATTATGCCTAGGGGTAGGATCGGGATGATCCCTATCCCGGATTCCAAAGTCCCTATCTCGTCCCGATCCCGATTCAAAATACAAGAGGTTCTTGTATCCCGTCCCGATTAAGTCGGGATCTCGACATTAAAATCCCAATTAAGTCAGGTTCCCTATCGGGAATTCCGCTTAATCCTGACAATGAAGTATCAAACATGAAATTATGTAATTTCTTTTGTTAAACACTAACTTTGATATTTAGTGGTTTCAATATTATTCTTTGGTCATTAGTATACCATATTTATCATCTTAAATTCACACTAATACGCACTTTTAGAATAATTTTTATTTATAACTTCAATTAATTAATAATATAATTTTTGAATAAGCTATCAAGGCTTGGTGAAACTTAATTCAAAAACTATATAAAAGTTAACTAAAAGAAAGACGTGTAACGTATATTATTTAAAATTCAAAACTAAGTAGACTCATTGATAAACTTTGTGACCAATGAATATAATGTATAAATACATATTATGATTATTTACTAAAGAAAGGAATCTTAGTCTTGATAATGAGTTTTTAAAGAGTTCATCAAAATCGCAAAAATTGTACTACCTTCATCCCTTAAAACTTTGTCAAGTTTGATCGGCACGAAGATTAATAAAGTAAAAACTATGTGCTACGGTAGAGGTTTGTACAGAGGAGAGATGTTGGGAATATTTTATGGTGTTCAATCTAGTTAGTTATCTTTGTATTTGTGTAGTTATCAATTAAACGTGTAATACGGGCCACAAATGTGTATCAGCCCGTAGGCTTCCTTGTAACCCGTAAGTTAGCTAACTTCTCCTATAAAAGGAGGCTAACTTACGGGAACCCTAACCATCGACAGAGGCTTAGAGTTTAGAGGCGTAAAGATAGAGAGAGTTTAGGTTTGCCGCTGCTCTCCTTCTCCAGGGAGAGCAGCGGCCGGTTTTCATACGGTATACCAGATTTGGGTATAAACTTGTCGATTTCTTTCTATCTGCTTCTTCTATAACTGCTATATTTGTTGTTTGTTAAGTATTCTGGGATTATCAAGAGAGAATTAACTGAAACCACAAATTCTTTACTTAAAAGAGAAAGTGACAAAGTTAGTGGGAGGACAATCAAAAAAGGAAAGTTGGCAAAGTTTTAAGGGACAGAGGAAGTAATATTGTTGTGATTTAGATTGTCAGGATCAAGAATAATCTCTATTTAGTTAAGATTTAGAATATTCTGTTTGAGACATATGCCGAATAGTTTTAGAAGTTTGATATTTTAACATAGAGGGAAAACTGTCAAATAGGTCAACATACTTTCAATGAAAAGCCAATTGAGTTCACGCACTTTTTAACGAATCATTCAAGTCTGCGAAGTAATAAAAACGACCAAATCAGCTATTTAACAGGTAAACAGCTTGTTACCCGGTAAAACGATTACATGGACGTTCCATTTTTACTGTTTTCATATTTTTTATAATTTTCTTTTGTTTTCTTTTTCATTTTTTTTCTTTTTTCTTTCTCTATTCCTTTTTCTCTATGTTTCTCTATCTTGTTTCTTCCTGGTCATGGTCCGCTCTTCATCCCCTAGCTTGTGAGCTTGTCCGTTTCTTTTAATTCCGACCACCTCCGCCCACCTCCGACCACTTTCTTCCAATTCCACCATTTTTACCGACTCCGCCACCTCCAACTGGATCGACCTCCGCCACCTCCAACTGGACCGACCTCTGCCACTGCGGCCTTCACAGCCACCACCTCCGCTGGCGGCCTGGCCTCCATAGCCACCGCCTCCAGGGGCGGAGCCAGGACACTGAGCCGGACTAGGTCGGTACAAAGAATATTTTTAGAAAAAAATTTACATGAAATTTTTTACTTTAAAAATTAAGCCATTTTTAAAATTTGGGTTGGGCCATGACCTAGGTTGGCCCACCCCTAGCTCCGCCCATGACCGCCTCCAGCCTCCATACCTCATCCCTGCCGCCTCTTAGCCCCTACCTCCATACATACAACCTCCGGCTTACATCTCCGCCTCCTCAATTGAAGCGATCTCCAACAGCACTCATGACCTCCATAGCCAAAACCTCTGCGGCCCCTGCCCCAATTCACACCGCCTCCGACCACCACTTCCGCTCAATTCCGGAGGAGGGAAGCTCACGCCGAAGTTGGAGTACAGGCAGGGAATCAAGGAAAGAGATAACAAAACAAATAGAAATTAAAAAAGAAAAGAAAACGAAAAAGTTTAAAAAAATAGAAAAAGGTAAAAATAAACCAGGTGGACAATATGACCGGAAAACTGTATGCTTAACTGTTAAATAGTCAATTTGATAATTTTTTTGACACTTCAAGGACTTGATTGATTCATTTTATAATATGTGAATTCAATTGACTTTTTGGTGAAAGTGGATAGATTTATTTGACAGATTTCCCCAACATAAAATATTAATCTATGTAAGGAATACGTAAGTAAAAAAGATATGCAAATATTTAGTTACATATTCATTTTTGTAAATGTATATTCATTTTGGGAGGAACGGGTACGTTTCACAACGGTAGAATTACCTTTAAATGGACATACTCCTTTCTTATAGACAATATATAATTAAGTATTTCTTTCAAAGATTTATTCTTTCTTTCAGCTATGTCATTTTGTTGTGGCATGTAAAAGTTGTTGTGTCATGCATTGTACCAATACATTCAAAATATTTAGATAATATTCTCCTCCTTTTCCCTTTCTTTCCGGTTTGTAGTTGTACTTTCATTGTATAAACTTTATATTTATCCATTGCTTCTTCCTTTGAAAATAAAAGATAGATAATAACCTTGTGCAATCATCAATAAATGTGGCTACTTATATTTTATTTCGAAAAGTACGGATTGCTATGAAAATCACACAAATCACTATATTTGCACTAATTCAAACATATTGGATTTTCTTTCAAAATTTTGAAAAGAGTTTGTACTGATTTTATTAAGCATGCCTGTTCTACATTTTTCTGTATTAATATTAAATGGAGGGATTATATTTACTTTAGACATGTCACTAGGTTTACGGTAAAAACCATGACATAATCTATTGTGCAACAAAGAACAGTCACTAAGCATATAACATAATTAATTACTACCTTTGTCCCATAAAACTTGGTCACCTTTCCTTTTTTGTCAGTCCCAAAAAACATTGTAAGTTCCATTTAAAGTAACGAATATGTGGCTAAAGTTATTTCTCACTCCTCTGCACAAATATCAATCACACAATTCTTACTTTGTCAACTTTCCTTTTTTGTATGTCCCACTAACTTTGTCACCTCTTCTTTTAAATAAAGAATTTGTGGTTCCAGTTAATTCTCTCTCCTCTGCACAAACATCATCCACACAGTTTTTACTTTATTAATCTCTGTGCCGGATTAAAAACTATATTTATGACACTTAGTTTAAACATATCATTACAATAGAAACGTCAACTTACAAATAGGGATGTAAACGAATCAAATTGAACCAAATACTTGACATCATTGACAAACGTAACAAATAAATTAATTAATAATGGTAGCTTAAATTTTGTTGTTGTTGCCGTGGTAGCTTAAATTTTAGAAGTTAGTGAGAAATATGGAATTAATAAATAACTTATAGTTTAAATTTTATTCAAATGAAAATAAGAAAATATTCAAAAAGTTGAATACAAAATCATTTGTTACAAATTCATATGTTTGGCACAACTAATCGAAAAGATACTTTTGTGAGTTTTTTAATAACCGTTAACTTTTAGTGCCCGAAAAGATCTTAAAGAGAAAATGTGGTAGCTGTTTGGTAAAAAGCTGACTCTTTGATTTAGTTCGGTTTGGTATACAAGATGTTAGGACTAATTAATACTAAAAATCACGGGTTTTTTCAGATGCTACTCCCTGTATCATCTCAAAAACGATCTTTTAATTTTTGAAAAGCTCTTAAAAATTGTCATGCCAAACATATAATTAGAAGCTTTTAGAGACTTTTTGAACAGTACAAAAGCTAGAAGGTAGAGACTTATGCATGTCAAACATAGTCATAATACGGGTTACAGAATAAGCTCTATCAAGGTTGGGAAATAGGAACTTTTGCTTAATAAACCTTCACATTGTTTTTAATTTTTATATATTCTATATTGATTTCATATGAAAGATCATACAAAGTTACGAATTTTGATATATTTATTTGTAAAAATTGAAGTAAAAATGAAAAGGTTATAACATTAGAGCATCTACAATGCTATAATGTGCACGGTGCACATGTAGCATGAAAGAAATAGACACAAAATATTGATAACATTTCTCTCTCCTTCTTTCCACGATCGTATGTGTTTTTGGTAAGTTTTTCTCTACAATGTCAACCACAATGTCTACATCTAGACATTGTGCTTGACATTTTGAACAAAAACTTTCCAAAATGATGTAAGATCTTTCAAATAAGGAGAAAGATATTCTATTTATTGTTTTTAATCGGTTATTTATCATGCCACATATGCACCGTTAACATGCTCTTATACATAAAAAAGGAGTTCCTTCAACGGGTCTCACAAATTGCATTTATGTAGAGTTGGTTACCTTGCTTTGCTGTTTCATTCCATACGTAGAAGTTGCCACTTGGGCATTTATATAGGAAAGGAGTAAAATGTGGGGAGAACTACACTTACGATTTAAAAAGAGTAAAATGATCTTAACTATTTCTTTTCTTATATAGACAGCCGCACAAGACCCGCTGTCCGACGACGTTTGGCTGCCTTCCCGGTGATATTTTTTGATGAAATTTTTATGACATGTTTTTCATGAAATCTAGTTTATCCAAAATTATTATTATGTACATTTTAAAAGTGGCCGTTTCAATTAGAAATAGAATTTTTCAACAAATTAATGATTGCAAATTATAAGTGAGCATAAGAGTATGCCAATAGTTCTTGGAATAAATGAATGAATCCGAGAAGAATACAATTCAGCCCACCCACTTGTTAAGTTACAAGTTACAAACAAACTCGGGAATGCGGAATTCATCATCCGTCCAGTGCATTTGGACCGGCGCAGGCCTTGAGAATCGGGCTCCATACCCACTGGACCATGAACTTCCGGCCCATTACCCCCCTCATATTGTACGTACTCCCCTTCTGGTCCCTCATAACCTGCCCGATGTACCCGCCGCCGCCGCCGGTGCCGTACAACCCCTCGCACAGATCCCCAATCTCCGTCGGCGCCGTAGGGTCGTCTCCGGCGTACCACGCGTTCACCAGTGGGTTCGATGAAAGCTCCGCCAGCTCGTGCGCTATCACGCTGATCATCCCGTCCACACCCACGTCCCCGTTCGGAGCGGTCAACGCGGCCGGCCCGGCGGCCCCCATGTACCCGGGTACGGAAAACGGGTAGGCGCAAACTTCGGGGCACTGCTTGCCGGAGTTCCCGATCCAAGCGTAGGGCAGAGTGTATCCCACCTTGGAAGCGAAGGTGAAGTAATGGAATCCGCAAACCGCCCTGCAGAAATCCTGCACAGTGACGTCGACGGAGGTGAGGACAAGGTAGATCCCGTTTTTGTGGTCGATCGAGAAGGGCTTGGATCGGACCGCCTCTGCAATGACGTCCTGAATGGAGAGACGGGTGAGGTGGTGGCCCTGGGAGTAGCGGTGGTCGGAGTACTCGTCGGCGATGCGGACGGAGCGGGATATGTTTGCACCGGTCTGGTCGGCGTAGAGAGTGACGGTGGCCCACCACTCGGAGACGGAGGGGGAGGGGGGGTTGAAGGCGGAGATGGAGCGGAGGAAGTCTTTGATGATGAGCTGCTGGGAGGGGGCCCAGCTTCCGTACCAGACAAGATAGATGTTAATCGGAGATGAAAGGACTGGGCCCATGTGGTACCGGAGGTTGACGAGGTCCGAGGAACCCTCGTACTTGTTGGACACCGTGAATGCTCGGAGCGGAAGCTTTGGATTTGAAATCCCATCCGCTAGTGGGAGAGCTTGAATGGTGGTGCCGCTTGAAGCGTGGGCAGAGGTGGACAGGATCGGATAGGCCGACACAGCTAAGAAGAAGGAGAAGAAGAAGAAGGACGCTGCAATGTTACTGGTGGTCATAACGCCGCCGCCTGCACGATGCGAAAGAGGTGAAAGGTGGTGGTTTGGGGTGAGAGCAGTGGTTGGTGGGTATATAAGGTGGCAGCTGGGATCGATGATATATCCGTCGTGGGGACTCGGCTGGCTCCAGCTATATAATTAAACCATTTTCTCTTCCAATCCAAACAGCTCTGTGAACTAACTTGAGGGTTGAAATCATATGTGCGTGCATTCATTGGGATGAAAATATCCTATTTCTACTATTCACCCTCAACATTGAAATAATGAAATTTTGAAAAATTCTTTGCATTATAAACTTTGATTGCGAAATAAATAATGCTAACACCCATCTACATAAATACTAACACTTTTAATTTGCTATTTCAAATTATGCAATTAAACCCATAAATTTACATTTAAATAATACATGACAATGATGTGAATATAACTTTAGTTTGAGATATTTAAATTTCATATACAAGTTTGGATGTTTATCTCACATCCCTTTAAAATTTGAGGTATTTTTATTATTTTTCCCGTTTAAGTACAAGTTTTAAAAAAAATTTATGACTTTCAAACCAGATGAGAAAGGCTTAAAGTGGAACATAATAAAGCAAAATATGATAAAATCAAATATTTAGCCAGTTTCATTTTGTCTGTGAACGTGATTCACAAACAAAAAAATAACCTCACATTAGTGCATATAAGGGTGGCTACAAGAGTGTGTGAATTGCACAGCTGCACATGTGTTATTCAAAGAATTAATTTGGAGTAAATAGGGCTTGTTTGTAAATGAAATCTCAATATGAGTTTTAGGATTTTATATTATCCTTCCAATTAGATTGAGAAGCTTAAAGCAGATAACAATTTAGCATGAAGTGATTAAATTCAATACTACGCATGTTTGTAGTCAACTTGGCTTTGTTTTTTTTTATTTCATTTTAATACGTATTCATCCTTTTAATATTTTATAAATGAAGTCTCAATATGAGTTTTAAAACTAGATGGAAGATTTCCAGATAGATACAAAAAGCTGTTAGAATCAACAAAGTGAGAACTCGTTTATAACTGTTTTGTAAATATCAGACCGAGAAGTGACCGGACAAATGACCGGGTCAAGGGTCAACCCGGACCCAATGGGTCAACCTGGTCAACAACCGGTAAACCAGTCAACAACAAATATATGAAATTATACTACATGTATAAAATAAATTCATAAATAGAAAATTATATTCCTTCATAATTAAAAGAAAAAAGATGATGCAACGTAGGTAAGGTAAAAAATTAAGGAGTACTACGTAGTAGGTATTACATATTATACATTTATAATCCGCAAACTGGAAAATGGTTCAGTTTGTAAATGTATCAAAACAGGCTAAAGCAACACTTCTGAACAACCTGCTATTGTGGTAAATTGGTGGACAGGCGGAACTTGTGTGCAGCAGCAGATCAGGTGGTCCAATCCGGCTTGCAATCTATCATCAAGTTTGGACCATTTTCTGGGTTTTACCAAGTTTTCCGGGTTAAACATAGATTTATAAATGAGAATTTTTAATCACTACTTTTAATATTTCAAATCAAGAGCTAGAATCAACAGTGGCAGTTTTATAATGATTGGAAAAAAAGGAGTGTAATAATGAAGAGAAGGGATGAAAAGCTACAGAAAGCAAACTTACTGACGATGAATATATATTTCCATAATAGCTGAAACAATAATACTACATACATATACACGCACAATTGAGTTTGCGTTAAGTCGTTAACCTTACAGTTACAACTTCTGAGTTCTGATGTACATAGTATATGATAAAGATTATTCTGCATCATTCTCCGTCATCTGGAATAGTGGTAGTAGGAGACAGTTCAATTCTACAGTTCAATATCTAATCATCTCTAATTCCTGTACAACCTGCAAAATGGTTAGTTAACCCATTGTTGAATCCTTGTTATCTGGTATGAATGTTTCCAGATTGGTTTTGATTTGAATCTTTCTCGTTTGATCGTGATTCGTGATGTTTCTCATCATATAAAACTTTCTTGTGAGTTAATACATCTCGTCTTGTTCGATCTCAAACTATCTTTTGGTCAGGCTTAACTCTTTCTGTTTAGACTGATTAAAATAAGCACAAGTAATAAATCAAATTTCAATGAAAAAATGCCACTTTAGATATTCGTTATGGTAAAACTTAGTTGTCATACTCATATACTTAGTTTTTGTTTTGATCAACACTAGTCCACTACAAAAAGATTATAGATCACACAGCGCTACCTTACAGATGAGGTGGTTCTTCAAAAGCTAGCTAGTGAGGTCCTCCGGATGCATCTCTCATACTGATATTCAAACTGTTTCTCATAGTTCGTCTTCCTATACCAGTGTTTCCTTTCGTCATCATAGCAACAAACTCTCCGTAGTCAATCCGCCCATCCTAGAAACAAACCCGCAAAAATGCAATTTAAGGGATAGTGCATGCAGAAGATAGGATGTATATCAATGTTGAAAAATAGTGCTGTCGAGAAATCAAGCCAAATTAAGGAGTGTTTGCAAACACTTTTAGAATCACTTTTCAACTTTTTTTATAAAATAAGTTAAAAAATGTGTTAAACCTTAACTTCTGCTTAATTGGAAGTACTTTTAAGCCATTACGTTGAAAGCGGGTCTTGGGATGCTTTTAATAGCTTCTTGGTATTTTGGTAAATAACTCATTCTTCCAAAATTTGGGAGGTTGTAAGTCATGGTGACTCGGTCGGTCCAATGGTGGTAGACCTTGTTCTCGTACGCACCAGAGGTCCAGCCCAGCACGCATGAGCTGTAACCTCCACACGGCCGCTGCGGGATTCGATCTTTGGTCATTCTTCCAACTTTCCCACCACTAAACCAACTGAACTACCTGTGCGAGTTTGGTAAATATTTCAAACTTTATGGATAACTTATTAGGTTGAATATTTCAATTAAACCCCAAATTACCCTCCCCTCATCCCTCTGACCTGCCTCTCCATGCCCTGTCAGCTTCTTCGTTCCACAAACCTCACCAGCCTCCAAACCCCATCCTCCTCCTCTTTCATATAGCATATACACACACACACATATATATAGAGATAAATGAATATATATATAATTATATATATCCTTATAAAACTTTAAGAGGAGCTTGATTGGGTCGAGTGATAAGACGCCCAAGCAATTCTTTTTTGATCCCATAGCATCCGAACTGGAATCAAGAGGAGAACAATGAAGCTCTCACGTCTCCCCCACAGCTGCCAGAAATTCCAGAGAGGTTGTCGCAGCAATATCCAGACACATCGTCGCAGCTAAGAACGTCACTGCTGCTGAATTGGCTCTTGGGAATTGGGACAGAGGCGCCGCTGGCCCGACTTCGGACAGGGGTGAACGATGGATGAGTCAGCTTTCAAAAAATATACAGTATTAATGTTATGGTTTTTTAGTACTTTAAAAAAATCATATCAACAATCACTTTTTTATCAAAAACTTCAACTTTTATCTTGTAACTAAAATCACTTCTATTTAGAAACACTACCTAAATCACTTTTCCAAAAATCTCTCACTTTTAAGAAGCACAAGCAATTCCAAACACTCCATTAATAGATATGATAAGTTGATAATTCATTAATAGCTGGCATGTCACTTGGTAAGACTTGTGCATGGGAATACTCTAAACTTTTAGAGCTTCTAGTCAACCAAATTGTTTACTTATTACCTATACTAAGGGAGTGTTTGCGGTTGCTTCTATCGACTTTAAAAAAGTGATTTTTTAAAGTGATTTGGGAGAAAGTGCTTAATAGTAAAAGGTGGTAGTGTTTAAGAAAAAAATGTTTCTGAAAAAGTAAATGTTGGTGGTGTTTGGTAAAATAAGTACTTGTGTAATAGAAAAAGTTAAAGGCATATTAAAGTACCCTTCCACTTGCTTTCAACTTTTAGCTTTTAAGTGCTTAATTTAAGTAGAAGTTTTCACTTGAAAACAATTCATTTCAACTTTTTTAAGCCAAAAGCTGTAAAACATTTTTTTTTAATTTTTTGCAGACACTCCCTGATTACTACTCTGTATAACTTATTTCAACGGGTTGATATTGAAAGAGAGTAACCCACGAGTTACTTTTTAAACTGAAATTGAAATTCTTAAAAAATATATATTTAAAACATTTAAAACAATGTTTCATATCATTCAGAAGATTTAGCAATTTCAACCACAACCACAGACAATTCACTCATTGTAAACTTACCCAACAACAACGTCCAAACCTTAGTCTCAAAAAAGTTTAGGGTCAGTTAACATGAATCAACATATGAAATCGGAGATACAACAACATCCAAGCTTTAATCTCAAAAGAATTTGGGGTCGTCTAACATGAATCGATCTATGATAGCGGTGCCAAACAGAGAAGACACACAAGAAAGGGAAGAAAAAAAGTAAGATAAAACGAATAAAATAAAGATAAGTAAATATAAGATAACAATAACACAAAAATATAAGAAAGATCATCATCATCATCATTTACCTCAGTGCCGCAAAGGCTCCCACCTACAGTGGGGTAGGGGGTCGGATGTACGCAGTCTTACCTCTGTCCTAAAACACAGAGAGACTGTTTCCGGATGACCCATAGTGAAAATCGCGTCCAAAATTGCATGGACTGACTGCTGCTTTATAACAAAGAAGCGCAGACAATTTAGTGAGCCATTTTGCTTTATTCCATCATATTCTCAAGCCAAAAAATAGTGAATCTTTGGCTCCATTGCAAATGATGGAAATAAAAATATAAGAAAGATAAAAGAAAAAAATAAAACAGCATAAAAAAGCTAGAAGATAAAAATAACATAAGAATATAAAATGATAAAGAAGATAAACGATAAAAGAAAAAAGAAAGGAAAGGTAGAAAAGACATCAATCGTCCACACGAATGTGCGCCCTCCACTTTGCTCTCTCCAAAGTCACGCTCTCATCCAACCCACGAAGACGCATACCTGTTCTGATTCCTCTCATCCAAGTCTGTTTGGGTCTTCCCCTCCCTATTTTCTCTGCCTCTTCTCCCCACCCCTCAAGTCATCTAAAAGGTGCATCACTCGATTGATAAGAATCAGGCCCATTAGACTAAGAATAGAAATAATAACAACAATAAATGTAAAGAGAGTATAAATAGCTTAGAAAGGGGAGTTAGTAAGGAGGTTGTTTTGACTGTGCAGTCTGGACTGGGAAAGAATGAGATTCACTGTCTCTCTCTTTTGGGGGCTTCGGCCATTGTTGTTTGTTACATTCAATAAAGTTCTGGAGATTTCTTCTATATTGTTTATGTATGTTTCTGTGAAATTGTTGTGGTCTATCAGTGGTATCATATCACGTAGATTCTGTGGATGGTATTGATGCATACGAAGATGGATTTATGGATGAACAAACGGGAGGAAAACCAAAAGAGATTGAGGGAAACATTGGAGAGAAATCAACAACAGATGAAGGTGATGCTTAAGACGATGCAGGCTACGATCGCGAAATTGGCGGAGCAAGGCCAAAGTCGTTCGCGAAACAATTCTCACCCTTCACATACGTCGCATCGTTCTTCGCATCATGGAAACGCGAGAAGTTCGCTAGAGCAGATGGATCAGAAGATAATTCCAAGTACTTTGTTTTGCACCAAGAGCAGAAGCTTCGCAAGGGACAGGGAGATCGATCAAGGAGTAGGCATCATCCGCTATCGCAGACGGAGTCCTAGACGAAATCGCGAACTTCTTCTTTAAGTTCGCAATCGCGAAATCCTTCTGAGAATTCACAGACTTCCTCATCGGCCATCTGTTCGCATCCAAGAAAGGCGCGATTGAGAGGAGGATCTTCTTCTTCGCCTGAGGATCTTAACGGTTCGTTTTCTTCGTCTAAAGTCACCTCTTGGAATTCAGCTAGTTCTAAGACGGAAGAATTACCGCTATTCAACGAGGATGAAGTATACGATTGGATAGATAGGATGGAAAGATACTTTCGAATCCAAGCTATTGCAGAAAAAATCAAAGTGAACGTTACAGAAGAGGCTATGGGGGAAGCCACGTGTGGCTGGTTTCAATGGTGGTGGGAATATCAAAAGAGAGAAGATAGTTGGAAGGCTCTAAAGGAAGACTTGATTAGAGATTTTACACCTAAACACCAGCAGAAGACAGGGAGGACAGAAAAACAGGTATCATGAAGGTCGTCAAGAACTCCTCTTAGTACACAAGTTTCTCAACTTGCGCATGATTTTTCCCAGTCAATAAAGAAGAACCAGATGGAACCAACTGAACCTGTAATCAAACAAATGAATAATAGAGACGAAATCAAGGACGAAATCAAGGAAAAAAGACAGGTTATTCAGTGGCCAGATTATGTTTCTCCTAGTCTTGTAGTCGGTGTGGATTTAATTCCCAGCCAAGTTTCTATTATTGATCCGCTTATCCAACCATGTTCCTTTGGAAATAGAGTCCTAATGACTTCTGAAACTAGTACAGAGGCTCAGGAGGAGGAGGTTGAGATTGTTTCAGGAGAATCTGCTATTATATGGGGAAACCACTCACAGGTTCATGATGATGACAAGCCTAGCCATTTCCAACACCTTGGCAGAAATTCACTGCAACTTGCAACTCTAAATATCAAAGACTTAGCAGGTTCTTTACCTGCTGAGGTATCCAAATGGGTACAAGTAAGGTGGGCAAAGTCTTCAGGGTTTGGTACAATATTGCAGCTAGGGGTTGAGAGCATGTTAGGCTACTCCAAGCTTGACTTACATGATTCATTTAAAGCACCTGGAAATTATCTCATGTTGGAAGACATCTCTGCAAAGACAGCTCTATTCTTTCCTGATGTTTTTGAATTCGTCACAAGGTTAATACAGAGAATGACCCTTAAGAATTACCAGCAAGCTCTAAGCAAAGTTGTTGATACATCAACATTTTCAAAGAATCTCTATGGTGATCCGTTCCATTCTAAGGCAAGATTTTCTAGAATGCCAGGAAATTACCTGGGACAGAACAACCCTGGTTTTCGTTGGACTTATGATCCTTTGGTAATTGTTATTTCTTCTGATTTTGCATTGGAGCTTTCTGATTTTCAGCTGATGGGTGCATTATACAAAGAAAAAAAGCCTAATCTTAAAGTTGACAGCAGGGTGTGCAGTATGATGGAACAAATGTTACTTCGGGGTCATGATGGGGGAATACAATTGGAGATTGTTGAAGTCTTAAATTCATAAAGAGAAATACCGCATGACTCAAGTTCTCTTAAACATTCTTCTGACCTGAGTGTGGATGAAGTTCTGTATTCAGTGTGAAGTCTCACTCAAGAGATAGGATGAAATCAAAGGCAAATGCTTTGCTAAGGCTGATCAAGGATTTTTCATCTAGAGGACTAGAAGTACGGAAACTGCTGATACCGCCATCAGCGAGGTACTGGAAAGGGAGAGGAGCATGGAGGAAGCTGAATTCCAAGCTTGGTTCTTATCTCCCCACCTTGAGGACAAGGTGGATGTTTAGGGGGGGAGTATTGATAGGAATCAGGCCCATTAGACTAAGAATAGAAATAATAACAACAATAAATGTAAAGAGACTATAAATAGCTTAGAAAGGGGAGTTAGTAAGGAGGCTGTTTTGACTGTGTAGTCTGGACTGGGAAAGATTGAGATTCAGTGTCTCTCTTTTGGGGGCTTCGGCCATTGTTGCTTGTTACATTCAATAAAGTTCTGGAGATTTCTTCTCTATTGTTTCTGTGAAATTGTTGTGGTCTATCATCGATCTTCTACGCACATGCCCAAACCACCGCAAACGAGATTCCTGCATCTTATCTTCTATAGGTGCTACTCCCACCTTTTGTCTGATTATCTTATTCCCCAAGCGGTCTTTTCTGGTATGTCCACACATCCAACGCAACATACGCATCTCTGCCACTCATCTTTTGAATGTGACATTGCTTCACCGCCCAACACTCTACGCCATACATTAATGCAGGCATAATTGTTGTTCGATAAAATTTACCTTTCAGTCTAGTCGGCATACCTCGATCGCTTAGAAATCCTTAAGCACTCTTCCATTTCATCCACCCAGCTCTAATTCTATGACATACATCTCCATCTAATTCACCATCCTTCTGAACAATGGAGCCCAAGCAACGGAACATATCACACACCGGTATCTCCTTACCATCAAGAGTAATCCCATTGTTGCTACTACTTTTACCTCCACCAAACTTGCACTCCATCTACTTAGTCTTGCTTCGGCTCAGTCTGAAATCCTTGGTCTCCAATGTTTGTCTCCACACTTCCAACTTTTCTTTAACACCGGATTGTGTCTCATCAATCAATACAATATCGTCAACAAACATCATGCACCACGGTATATCTTCTTGAATTGACTTTGTAAGTTCATCCATGACTATAGCAAATAAGAAAGGACTCGTAGCAGATCCTTGGTGCACTTCGATAAATAGGGAACTCTGTGGTCCTCCCTACACTAGTGTGGACAGTTGTAGTACAAGCATCATACATATCCATGATGATACGGATATACTTACGTGATATGCCTTTTCTAGTTAAGGCCCACCAAAGGACTTCTCGAGGTACTCTATCATATGCCTTTTCTAAGTCAATGAACACCAAATGCAGATCCTTTTTAGTGTCTCTATACTTCTCCACAATTTATCTAAGAAGGTGAATGGCCTTAGTTGCTGAGCGTACAGGCATAAAACCAAATTAATCTCCGAAATTTTCACACTTTTACGAAGTCTTTGCTCAACCACTCGCTCCCAAAGTTTCAAGGTGTGACTCATAAGCTTAATCCCTCGATACTTAGCCCATTCTTGTACATCAATTTGGAATCAGAGATAAAAACGATATAAATATAAAAATAACATGAATTAACATATGAAAAAGGAGCTAAAAACGATTACAAAAAAGATGACATAAAAAAGGATAAAAAAGATAAAACAAAGATAAGAAAAAATAAGATAAACGATAAAAAAAGATAAAATAAAAAGACAAAAAATTAAGATAAAAGACAAAAAGATAAAAAACATGAAAAAGAGAAGAGAATAGATGAAATGAGATCAATCTTCCACACGAATACTCTCCCATATTTCGCTCTTTCGAAAGTCATACTCTCCTGCAAACAAAGAAGTATTATATCACTCTTGACTCCTCTATTTCACATCAGTTTGGATCTTCCTCTCCAAGTCTCCATCTTCTCTATGCCTCTTATCACCACCTCTTAACTCGTCTAAAAGGTGCATCACCGCACCTGACCACACCACCGCAATCGGGACTCTCACATATTATCTACAATAGGTGTTACTCTTACCTTTTGTCTGATTGCCTCATTGCTCAAGCAGTCTTTTTTAGTATGGTCACACTCTTTTTTTTTGAAAGTGACAATGATTCACCATCGAACACTCTAAGTCATACAGTAAAGCAGATCTAATTATTTTTCGATACAACTTACCCTTTGGTCTAATCGACATACCTCAATCACATATAAATCTTAACGCACTATTCAATTTCATCCACCCTATCCGTTATTTCCTTATAATTTAAGGTAATCTAACTGTTACCATTGCTTCTACTTCCACCAAAGTACCAAACTACAGTGCATATCCTCAGTCTTGGTTCGACTCAGCATGAAACCCTTGTTCTCCAAAGTTTGTCCCCATACTTCCAACTTTGCTTTAACACCCGATCTTGTCTCATCAATCAACACAATATCGTTGACAAACATCATGCACCACAATATATCTTCTTGAATTGACTTCGTAAGTTCATCCATGACTATAGCAAATAAGAAAGGACTTAGAGCCAACCCTTGGTGCAATCTGATAGTAATAGGGAACTCTGCAGTCCTCCCTACACTAATACGGATACTTGAAGTACAATCGTCATACATATCCATGATGATATTGATATACTTAGGTGATATGTATTATCTAGTTAAGGCCCACCAAAGGACTTCTCGAGATACCATATTTTACGCCTTTAATAAGTCAATGAACACCAAATGTAGATCTTGTGTCCCTACACTTCTCCACAAGTTGTCTAAGAAGGAGAATGGCCTCATTCTAAGCTTACCAAACAAGCTATTATAATTATATGAGGTAATACACACACACACACACACTCTGACCACAACAACAACAAAATGATCTTTAGAATAGATTTCTGACTTAAATAGAACTATGGAAGTGAATGATCACCTGAGCCTAGAGGTGTATCATAGAGCAAAGATTGGTATTGAACATATATTCAACTCTAATAAAATATTGACAGTGCTCCATCTTAACTTACATTGTCTTGATCAACTTCTCTGATTATATCTTCAAAGAAAACATCAGTCATATTGTGTTCCACACAAGCTTGCTGGAGCTCATCTACTGTAATATAACCACTCCCATCCTTGTCAAAATATTGAAATGCTGCAACAAGATGTTCTTCACGCTCTAATTTGTTAAGATGAATTGTTGCTGCTATAAATTCTCCATAATCTATGGTGCCGCTGTTATCCACATCGGCCTGCAAATCATATAAGTATTTCAGCCAGTTTGAAAGTTGACAAGATATTAAGAGTTCGTTTGAAACCCGTAAAATACTAGGGAAAATCAATGTTCAAAATTGTGTATGGCGTATATGAGGTGGTTTCTTAGCATTGCCTGTTGCATAAACCTCATTGCACAATCATGCGTAAGCCTCAATTTCTACACAAATTTATACATAAAAAATACAAATAAAGTAATAAAAAATAAAATAATCATTACAAAGCAACAAATATCAAAATCAAGACCAACAAAAATGAGGTCATAAACCTATCAATATTGTATGTTCAAACCACACACATAGAAAAAAAAATTGGCGATTAAAGTTGCAAGATTATTAGATTGAGCAATGCAAACTTTGACAGTATGAACCATTGTCAATAAGCTCCTCCCTGCACTACTTTTGTTCTCACTCAGCTTGAGAAGGTTTATTGTCTTGTGTGTTGGGTTTTACTATTTAATAAATGGTTAATAAACAAATTTAGGAACCTATTTTTATCAACAATTATTATAAATGTAGAAAAATATATAAAACGGAAACAGAACAAAGAAAAAACATACTGTTATCATCATTTGTTACAAGTCAGAACAAATTTTATCATATAAAGAATCATACAACTTTGCATTCAAACAGACAAATGTAAACCATAAAAATCATTGAGTTCATATTCTCATATTTGTCGTACATACTATAAATAAATAAAAATAAAAAATAAATTAAAAACAGTACCATACCATAGGAGCTCATGAGCTTACGCAGGGCTGCAGGAGTTCACGCAAAGGCTTGTTATGAAGTTTTAAAGCTTAGGCCGCCTTAAGACTTTTCTGGGCTAAATTTTAAGAATGAGCCCAACTTATACTTTCTAAGATTAAACCTACCTTACTGACAGAAACGTGAGAAAGAACCGCCTTCTTATGTAGTGTCTATTGTGTACGCCTTAGGACCTTAGTAGGGAAAAGCGTAAGGATACCCATTGCGTAAAATGGGATATGTTTCTTATAATAAATGGAGTAAATATCTTTGATGTGCGCCTCAGAGCGCAATTGCATTGCGCAAGTTTGAACATTGAGGAAAATACCAAGTGTTTGGACGAAACAAACAGAACACCAATGTGCCATTCTGTTAAATAAGCATTTAAAATGCTTTTTACTGCCAAAAGAAATATCTTCATTTTCAATCCAAACACTTGCTTTTTAATTAAAAATCATTTTGTTCCCTAAAAAAACTAGTTCGTTGAAAATCAGTCATCCCAATCACTCTTTAAGGACTATGACCTGAACCAATTAAACAGATTCCCAAACAAAGCTGCAGTAGTTAGTTTCTTCAGTAGTGACAAATACATCCAAGTTCAGGAAAAGCCAATAATAGTTAGCATTTTGATTGAAGCAACTGCCTATTTACTAAATAATTCATATTCCTACTAACAAAAGTACCTCAACTCTAAATAAATAAGTTTGAAATATAATACCAAATTCAGCAATAACTAACATCCCATTCTCCCTTTTTATCTTCCCCATTTGACTTCGCCTGAAGTTTAAGAAAATGAAAATGTTGTTTGGTATTTATTTAGTAGGAAAGATTGAAAAAATCGATATGAATTACACAATATCGTCATTAAAAGGACACGAGAAGATTTTTATGGACAGCCTAAAAAGGAAAAGAGCGAACATTTAAAAAGGAAACAAGAGTAACCCCATTCCTACATAGAAATCATTACCAGTCCAACAAACGGTCACTTCATAATTTTCTTACCGCATCCATTAGTTCCCGTATCTCTGTATCCTTCAATGTAGACCCGTATTTCCTCAAACCAGCTTTAAGTTCATCAAACGTAATTGCACCGCTATTATCAGTATCCATGGACTGAAACATCTCTCTTAAACCAGCAATTTCCTCTTCTGATAGGCTTTCGGCGATCACCTAGATGAACAAGCATGAAACTTGAGTCTCAGTAGTTTGCATTATTTGAAAATAATTGCATTTACTAATTATTATTCTTAAAGTACCCGTAAGGCCATCTTCTTCAACTTGTTCATAGCTGAGAACTGTTTAAGGCGAGAAAGTACAGCTGGATCTAATGCTCTATCTGGAGCAACCCCATTTTTACAGATCCACGGGTGGCCTACAAAAGTATACAACAGAAACAACAACGGAATCATTATCCATGTTGTATTGATGGAGTTGCTGAAATTGCTGAATAATAAATTAAAATTGATAAATAAAGAAAATATATATGGAAAAACAGTTAAACGGTCATCTTTAAAAACGTCAGCCAAAAAGAGCAACTGCAACCTTACCATTTCATTAAAAACTAATTTAGCTGGCACATTCAAATTTACGTAGTAATTGGTAAACAAATTGACTAGTAAACCGGTATAGGTGGCTACCAAATGGCCACTTAATATAAGCTACGCTCAGAGATTCACACATCTGCTATCAACAATAGTCACTGTCCAATTACTATCCATCGTTGAACTCCAACGTACCATAAGAGGAATGAAAGCTCATTCAGTCATTTGTATAGCAGTATAGGTGTGACTTAATCTAAAAAATTGTTCTCAATACTTCTCGTTTTCAAATTTGAAAATTAACAAGAAGGGATAAGTAGTCAAAAACAGAAAAAACATACACAATACTTCATGAGCAGTTAACCGCTCAGAAGGCCGCATGCACAACATGTTCTGGATTAGATCCTTTGCACTTTCTGAAATTATAGGCCATGGGTCTGATTCAAAATCGATGTCACCTTTCAAAACAGCATCAAATATCCCTTGCTGTGTTTCTGAAGAAGATTGTAGTAACTGTTACAACACAGGATTGGGGGTGGATTGAAACTCCTATTCTGTGTAATAGTATAATCATCAGACATACCGGCCCAAAAGGGTGGCACACCACTTAGGAGTATATAAAGTATGACCCCTGCCGTCCAAACATCTGCTTCTGGGCCATAACTCTTCATAAGCACCTCTGGAGCAACATAATATGGGCTTCCAACAACATCTGTGAAAATTTGGCCTGAAACAATAAAGAACGTACTAGTAAAAACATGATTAATGTTTAGGTAGTGCATCTTATACAGAAGAGGAAGATTGGGGTGACAAGAAAGCAGTGGCATGACAATCATCTAAGAAACACCAGTCTGCAATTAGGAGGACCAATGATGCTTGTAGTAATTATGATGCTCTCAGGACTAGGATACAGGAAACATAAGGAGAAATTGTATAGCTGGTCTTGTATATCTTAGTTGGCATGCAGAATTGTCTTGAAGCTCAGGTCATTCTCTCATAGTGTCCTGTAACTCATGTTCCAGGAAAAAGAGTTTTGGACCGAAAAAATGTTCTAAAAGGCGCTAGGTGCTAGTCGGGCGCCAGCCCAGCGCCCAACGTCTAGGCGGCTAAACGGGCGCCTAGGCGCCTAGGCGGGCGCCTAGTCGGGAACTAATCGAAGACATAGAAATTGCATTTTTATCTATATTTTTGCATAAATATGATAAATTGATAAGTAATATTGTATTTTTGTGTGAATAAAATACACACGCACATATACATTAACAAACATGAATGATAGAATTATCACATTTAATCATACGTAGTATATGATAACTAATAATTAACTTCATTATGTTATAAATATAAATAATGATAAAATTTAGGTATATATACAAACATATACTCCCTCCGGTTCCTATTAAAGTTCTCACTTTCCTTTTTTGGATGTCCCTTATTTAAGTTCACACTTCCATTGTAGGAAACAAAACAGTGCCAAACAGTGTCAAACAGTGTCCAAACAGTGTCAAACAGTGCACTCCACAGTAAAGTCAAATTTATTTTCTTAATCTGTGTGAAGTCAAACTGAGAACTTTAATAGGAACCGGAGGGAGTATAGTTTTATCTTAATTTACAACTTCATTTCTTTATATCCATGGCTAAAGTTAAAGTACGTATATCGCTTAGAAAATTAAAATTAAAAAGTAAAGTAATGTTCAGCAAATTTAGATGACCCATGAAGCAGATTAGGCGCTCTAGGCGGACAACTAGGGACCATAGACGACCGACTAAATCACTTAGATGGCAAATCAATTAGTCGGAGCGCCTAGACGAAAATCGTGGCGCCTGACCACTGCCTAGCGCCTAGTCGGGGACTTGTCGGGCGCCTAGAACGATTTTTAGAACAGAGAGCAAAAATTAAAAAAAAAAACAGATTTCACAGGGAGTGGATCACACGTGTTCACAAATTTGGCCCATTGAGACGAATTGGTTTTAATATAATAAATTTGTTGAATGAAATACTCATCATCATCATCATCCTTACCCCAGTGCCGCAAAGGCTCCCACACCTTCGGTGGGGTAGGGGGGTCGGATGTACGCAGTCTTACCCCTATACTAAAGCACAAAGAGACTGTTTCCGGATGTTGAATGAAATATTGTGAGCATAAAATTATCTATTTGTGAGTTTTAATGTCCTCATAAGCACTACCAATGTCGACGAAGATCATTTCATCAACACTCACAATTTGGACTCCCAATTCATTGTGGCACACAGAGGGAAGGGCAGCCATTATATGAACTTAAGGTGAATTCATAGGTTCCATGGCATCGTGGAGGGAGTCTAGAACGTGAAGAAAGTGATGGGAGACATTCGAGTCCTAAACAACCTGGATGAATAGGAGGTTTTGTTATTCTCTAAGAAGATCTATGATTGTTATGTCATTGCATCCCAGACAAAGCAAATGGCCAGGCATCCAGTTGTCCATTTTGCCTCCTGCTGATGCACTTATAATACAGGGGTGGTGAATTGGTGATGGAGTATGTATAGGACTATGGGTCAAGAAATTCAGGGCAATTGTGTATGATGTCGAAACTACAATGATCCACACGTTCTGATCTAGGTTAGCAGTGGCTTAGAGAATCCTACGGATAGGCTAAACTTAGTGAGAGCTGTGTCAGACAGTTAAGCACTTGTACAGCATACTAAACTATTCTTTTATGAGGAGAGATTGTCTTCCTGCAAATTTCCTTGCCTTTCCAATGAAATAATATGAATGTATACCAAGGTAGTCAAAAGCGCTCGCCCCAGCGCTTAAGCGCACCAGGCGCAGCGAGCAGGGCCTTCAGCGCTTGGGAGAAGGGGAGGCGCACGTACCTGGGTCAGGTGCAGAATAAGCGCATTAAGCGCATGAAGCGCTGAAGCGCAGGAGGCGCACGCCTGGCTCACCTGATCCAGAAAAGGCTGACAAGCCTTTTCTTGGTTTAAAACTTTAAAAAATAATTAGCCCATATCTTTAATAACACTCAGCCCATCTAAATAATAGGGTAAAACCATTTAAACCTACGTAAAAGCTTTAAGTAAAGTACGTACAAACTTAAAACCTTGCGACTAAGTTATATCACTAGCCATCATCGGCTCTTCAGCCTACTCACTCTTCTGACTCAGTTGCTCCACACCAGCCGGTTCTTTCAGTTTTCTTCATCATCTTAAGCAAACTCAGTTCTCCCTCACACCACTAAACAAGATATGTGTTCTTCTTCGTGCAGTCTTCTTCATCCAAATACTCTTATAGTATATTTCTATGTATATAATAAAGTACTAGTATATTACTATGTATATAATACTCTATATTACTCGTAACAATGTATTAATACTCTGCATTACTCTATTACTCACAGCACTAGTATATTGTTATGTATATAATAAAGTAATAGTACTCAGTATTACTCTATATTACTCACAGCATTAGTATATTGCTTTGTATATAATAGTCATAATACTCTGTATTACTCTATGATACTCACAGCACTAGTATATTGCTATGTTATTAATAAAGTAATAGTACTATGTAGGCTCACAAGTTTAACAAGGGGAAATAGGCTCCAATTTGATTGTCTTTTATTTATAGTTTTAGTATTAAAGCCATGAATTCTGAATTTGGTGTTTTATTTTTTGTAAATCATGACTTTAAATTGGTGAATCCTGGATTTTATATGCATTTGGTTCAATATGATGTTACATACATCATATTTGGTAATTATAGAATAGTATATGTTATTTTATCTAAGTAATGCGCTTCACCCGAGTCAGGCGAGCGCTTTATTTGCGCCTTGCGCCTCAGGCGCTGGAAGGCCCCTAGCGCTTCAAGTGCGCCTTTCGACTTTGACTACCTTGATGTATACCATATGACTGTATATTTATACACATTTCTGGTTTTTGTGACCCAAGAAATTTGCACCTCGGTTTTAGTCAAAAGAAAAATGTCAACATACGCATAAATATACAGAAAAGGACCAAATTAGGGAAAACGTGGTCTGCACTTGATGAAATCAAGCAACATTATGTTTTTTACCGAAAGTCCTCAAATTGGGCAAAAAAAAGAACTACTAAACCGAATGTGAGAACGGTCTTAAAATCGGGACATTTTGGGTACGGGCTAAAAGATGAAGGACCAAACATGCATTTTCCCCTAAGGAACTTATCTAACAAACACCAATACTCCACTACTCACTAGTATAGTATCATTAACTGATTAGGACTTATGATGCCTTCTTTTGTAGTCATTAGATGCAATAATATACCAACCAACAACAGTGATGAGGATACACGATGGAAGTCATGAACACAAGGATATACATAAATAACCTGGCTTGAAGAAAACCGAAAGCCCAAAATCGATAGCTTTCAGTGAGAAATCGTCATCCTTGTTAACCAACAAGAAGTTTTCCGGCTTAAGATCTCGGTGCATAACACCAAGTGAGTGGCATGCCTCAACAACTCCCACAATTATCTTAGTCAACTCAGCAGCTTTTCTCTCACTGTAATGCCCTCTTTGAATGATGCGATCAAACAATTCACCCCCGCCGCATAGTTCCATAACAATATGAACATACAAAGGATCCTCATAAGCACCCTTGATACTAACAATGTTTTTGTGTCCAGCCAAATGATACATTATCTGAATTTCCCTCCTAACGTCCTCAACATCTTCTTTGGAGATCAACTTCCTCTTGGAGATAGACTTACAGGCATACTCCTTACCAGTAGAAATTTCGGTGCAGAGATAAGTGGTGCCAAACTGACCTTGACCTAACCTATGCCCCAATGTGTAAAGATCACAAATGTTAGCGGTCTTGTGATCTAAAACACAGTAGGTCTGGGTATTGTTGGAACGATTCATGATGTTTTCCGTTTTTTGAGTGATGATAGCAGTGAGTTGCTGATCTTCTTTGGGATAAGCAGACGATAAGTTAGAGAGGAGTTGGGCTTTGAGACGGTTTGATCTTGGGGATGGGCGTAGTTCAGAATGTGCTTACCTCCTAAAAATCCACGGCATGTATTGCCCATTAACCAAACACAGCTAAGCAAAGTGACAGCTATACCATCATTTCTTTTGGAATTACGCTGAAAAATCGGAGTATGAATAGAAATGCTTAAAGCGCGTTGCAGGATATTTAAAAAGAAAAAGGAAGATATTTACAGAGCAACATATTTTGTTAACATGGAGTGAGTTTTTTTAGGAAAATATAGATTAAAAATCATCCTCAATAGTAATGCTAAGCACCAACTTAAACATTCTAGTCATATGCGAAGGAAAGGAAGGAAAGAAAGGTAGAAGGAAATAAATAAATAAATAATCGGTAATGGGGGAAGAGATTGTAGATATCTCAATTGATAGGAATAAGAGAGACGAGAGGAAGCGGTACCCAGGATGACGATGGATTGAAGGCGAAGAGTGGGATGATCTTATCTGACTTAGAGGCGTGCAGCACTGACCTGCCACGGCTGCTATGGTTGAGTCGCTGGGTTGACGACGGCGACATCTACTGGGAAGACTTGAGCAGAACATATATACACTACTTTGAATTAGACTGGATGGGGACAGATGGATGGATGATCACCATTACCCTCACGTCTTTCCCGTTCAGAATCCTAATCCGCCCCTCAACACTCAGGATAATGACTTTTATGGATTTTAAAATGCATTTTAAAAGTTCGTGGATTTTGAAATTGAGTTACTCTACACAGAAATCCATTAAAATCCATGCAAATAAGTAACAACAGAAATACACGGAATGTTTGAGTACATCCTTATTTTGATGGTTTCCATAGAAATCCAAATCAAGAACACCTGAATTCTGACGGAATTCTAAACTCCGTTAAAATCCTTCAGAATCTGAATTGGGGTCACCTCCAAAATTAATTTCAAATCTCAATTTTTGTTGATAAAAATCAGGTTACCACCATGTCACCTGATGTCAATCAAGCATCTGTGGAAATTTAAGGGATCAAATAGACCACTGAACCGACAAAATTGTTCAATTCACCCCAACTGTTAAAAAGTGTCAAAATTGCTATTAAAAAATAAAAAAATTGAAAAATAGAAAATAAAAATTTAAAATAATATACAAGTTCATAATATAAAAGAGTTTTTGCCACTTTTGATCCTCCGACTATTGTGTCAGTGACACTTTTGGTACTCGACTTTTAATTTTTCCATTTTTAGTCCTCGACTATTGTGCGAGAGACACTTTTAGTCCTCGACTTTCAATTTTCCCACATTTTGTCCTTTGATTATTATCAAATTGACAATGCACTGACCAGCTTTTCCCACTTTTAGTCACCACAAGCATCTGTGCAATACACTGACCAGCTTTTCGAAGTCCTTCTTCAGCAGGAACTTCTTCATGTAGAGCTTTTCTAGTCCAGCGGCCTCAGGGCGGCAATAGGTTTGCACAAAGGCCTCAGTGGAAACATCCACAGACTCTAAGTCAATGAGAGTGGGGGTTTCTGGATCTTGAGAGTCCAGTTGTACCCCGAAGAACTCGTTCAGGGCATCTGCATTCAAGATGATGCTTTTTCCCTGTACTTGGGATTGAACGGCGTTCTTGGTGAAGTTGGCGTTGAGGTAGAACTCGGCCACGTCCTTCGTACTGAAGTGCTCATAGGGGTGAGCAACCACTTTGCTCAGTTGGGACTCATTCATTCCCTGGATGATCTTCGTCATCCTCTTCTGGTTTTCTGCTAATAGCGGCATTGCAGTCATATCCACTTTCATGCCCGTTACTATGTTGGAGATGAGGGTTTTCACTTCTTCCTTAGTGAGATCGTTGATGTTGATGAAGTTCATTTTCACAGAGTGAGAGTTCTCGGAAGGTTTGAAAGCTTGAGAGCAAAAGCAATTTTAGAAAGATGAAGTGCAGTAGCGGTTTAGGTTGAAGAAGGTTGGTATAAAAGGCTTTGGGTTAGTGGACGTTTGGAATAATTTGTGGTTTCGAGGCAGCATTTAAAGAAATGCGGGCGGAAAACGTTTCCATTAAAAGAGTAATAATCAGGGGTAAAAGTGTAAAAGACCTTCTGATAAGATTGTAAAAGACCTGTTCAAGTAATTAGGTCTTGCTCGTACCTCGAAAAATAACTAAGTCCACAACCACTTCTGATGAACTTCTGATAAGATTGGTACTCTGGTGATCAGAGACAGAGGTACTCTGATGGAAGGTTCTCTGGTCTAGATATAGCAGTTCTGGTCCAGGGTAATTCTGGTTCGTGCATCTCTGGGAAGATCATCCATCATTCCCAGTTCTTCCCTTAGCTTGTTAAACCTTGCCTCAGGTAAAGGCTTGGTTAGAATGTCCGCTAGCTAATCTTCAGTTGGTACATGCTCCATACAGATATGCTTCTTTTCTACATGATCTCTGATGAAATGATGTCTGATCTCAATGTGCTTTGTCCTGGAATGAAGCATTGGGTTCTGAGTGATTGCAATGGCACTAGTGTTGTCACACGACAGCTTGATCTCCTTTGCATGAATTCCATAATCCTTGAGTTGTTGCTTCATCCACAGAAGTTGGGCACAACAGCTTCCAGCAGCAATATACTCAGCTTCTGCTATACTGGTTGAGATTGAATTATGTTGCTTGCTAAACCAAGAGACAATTCTCCCACCTAGCAGTTGGCAGTGACCAGAGGTGCTCTTCCTGTCTAACCTGCAACCTGCAAAGTCTGAGTCAGAGTAACCAATTAGTTCAAAGTTACCTCCCTTGGGATACCATAGGCCTGCATTTGGATTTCCTTTGATGTATCTGATGATTCTATTTGTAGCACTTAAATGGCTCTCCTTGGGCTTTGATTGGTATCTGGCACAGATTCCAACAGAGAATGATATATCTGGTCTGCTTGCAGTTAGGTAGAGAAGAGATCCAATGATTCCTCTGTATGTTGTTGCATCAACATCTCTTCCTTCATCATCTGGTCCAATTCCTTGAGAAGTGTTCATGGGAATCTTCACTGAGGATTTGCCTTCTACTCCAAACTTCTTGATTAGGTCTCTGGTGTACTTCCATTGGTTGATAAAGATTCTTTCTGGAACTTGTTTGACTTGCAGTCCTAGGAACTTGTTTGACTTCCTCTCAAATTGAGTGAGCTCTTCTTGCATTGCATTAATCCAATTTGAGTCTACAAGAGCTTCTTCTACTGTCATAGGTTCCATATGAGATATGTAGCAGACAAGCATTGCTTCTCTTCTTGTTGTAGCAGATCTGGTCTGTACTCCACTTCTGATTTGTCCAATCACTTGGGTTGAAGGATGATCTCTTAACCAAGTTAAATCAGGTTCTGATAATGGTTGTCTAGGTCTTTCTTGTTCATCTTCTGAGTCTTCATCACTATCTTTGTCTTGCAGAATGGGATTCTGAAGATGAATTGGGTTGACAGAGTTGGTGACCAACTCTGGTGCGACTGTCTCTGGTGTGACCACTTCTGGTGATTTTTCAAGATTCACTTTCTCCACGTTCTCGGTTATGCTCTCAACAGAGTTGAGATCATCAAACTTGACATGAATCGATTCTTCAACAAGTAGAGTCCTTTTGTTAAGTATTCTATAGGCTTTGCTTGTGCTTGAATAGCCTAAGAACATGCCTTCATCAGCTTTTTCTGGGAACACTTTGAGATGTTCCTTTCCATTGTTGAGTACATAGCATTTATATCAAATGCATGAAAGTAGCTGATGTTCGGTTTTCTTCCTTTCCATAGTTCATAAGGGGTCTTCTGATGAGTCCTGTGAATCATGCTTCGATTCTGAGTATAGCATGCAGTGTTGATTGCTTCAGCCCAATATCTGAGAGGTAGACCAGATTCAGCAATCATGGTCCTTGCAGCTTCTTTCAATGTTCTATTTCTTCTTTCTGCAACTCCATTCTGTTGAGGAGTTCTGGTTGCAGAGAGTTGATGCATGGTTCCATTCTGGTCACATAATTCCTCTATAACTCTGTTCACGAACTCTGTTCCTCTATCTGATCTGATAGTCTTGACTTTCTGATTCTGCTCATTCTGTAATAGCTTCAACATAGATGGTAGTTTCTGTAGAGTCTCATTCTTTTTCATCAGAAAGATTGTCCAAGTGTATCTTGAGTAGTCATCAACCATGACTAGGGTGTACTTCTTGCCACCAACACTTGGAGTCTCAACTGGTCCAAATAAATCCATGTGGATCAGATTTAGAGGACTTGTAGAGAGATCTCCAGCAATGGGTTTGAAGGAGTTCTTCTGTTGTTTTCCTTTCTGGCATGCACTGCACAGGTTCTCCTTCTTGTACACAATGTTGGGCAGACCATCAACAATGTGATCCCTTGCTAGTTTGTTGATTGTTTTGAAATTCAAGTGACTCAGCTTGTTGTGCCATTCCCTGCTAAGTTTTGAATCTCCTTTGGCAATCAGACAAATTCCTTCTTTTGCAGAAGACCAATCAACAACATAAATGTTTCTTTTCCTGGTAGCTGTTAGAACCACTTCCTTAGTTGTCTCATGCTTGATAGAACAACCTTCTTTGGAGAATTCAACTGTGTAGCCTTTGTCACAGAATTGACTAACACTCAGCAGGTTGAATTTTAGGCCTTTAACATATGAGACATCATCAATGATTATCTGGTTCTTGATCAGTTTCCATCTTCCTTTAGTTTGCCCTTCTTTATCATTACCACCAAAGGTAACTCTGGGCCCTTTGATTTTCTGGAACTCTGTAAGGCAACTCTTGTCACCTGTCATGTGCCTGGAGCATCCACTATCAATATACCAGTCTTGCTCAGAGATTGCTCCAGCACACAGTTCCTGCATTAATAAAAGGAAGATTTAGGTACCCAAGCAATGTTGGGTCCTAGGGGGTTATGCAGTCTTGGCAGCCGGTACCACTTTGGTCTCATCAAGTGAAACCTTGGTGGGTGGTACCCATTGTCTACCTGGTAGTCATAGTAAACGGAGGTGTGATTCACTTTAGGCAGATGCTTGTGAGGATCATGCTTCCTGTTTACGTACTTTTGCATAGCCTTTTTGGTTGGGTAGAAGTCCCATATACTATCAAGAGCAGAGGGGCGGTAAGCTTTGGGCTTCTAAGATTGACCAGCCAACGTCTTCTGCCTGAAGTTTACCTTCTCTTGATATTTGCCTTTCTGGTGGTCATTTCTGGTGGGGTAGTCATGAGAATGTCTGGTCAATTTCTGTCTTTGATTTCTGTTATTTTGAAAACTTTTCTTGTTAAGTTTTCTGCCAGGTTCATTATTTTTCAAATTTTGTTTGGGTTGAACCTTTATCTTTTGCTTATCTGGTCTGACCTTCTCATGAACAACCTTAGTACCAGATACACTAGCTTGGCAAATGGGGCTAGAAATCAGTGGCACTATGACCTTATCTGCCGTAGCAGCAACTCTGGTGCTAGGCATAATGGAAAGCTCACCTGATTCTGTTGAGCCATAACCAAGACCAAAACCAATGCCAATTTGTTGATCAAGTACAATCTTTTCCATGGAAGATTGGGCCTTCTGGTAAGCTTTGTACTTAATCTCAAGAGGCTCTATTTCTCTTATTCTCTTGAGAAGAGAAACATTTTCAGCTTCCAGCTGATCTCTCTCCTTAATCAGAAGATTGATTTTGGTTTCAACCTCGTTTCTTAAGTCAAGAATCTCAACCTTAAGCTTAC